ACTGACGGGGAATTCAGAGCAACGTTCTAGGGGAAGGTTTTCTCACGCGTGTATGATAGGAGAAGGTCCTTGTCTCCTTCTAGCATCTGTGGGCCAACACTCCTTGAAGATCTCCATGTGTCTTGACATTCATCTTCCTCCGGGTCTAGGAGGTTCTCAGCACAGGGACCCCAGCTCCAAAGGACTCCTCCACTCCCAGGTCTTCTTCCTTGGAAGCAGTAGGTCCCTCCCCTTCTGCTCCCTCCTCTCTCTCTCCATATCTGGTAAGATAAAAGGTGATGCAGGTCACACCCCAAGTCAACTTCCCCTTACATGGGAGTAGGGCTGCGACCAGCGTGTGAGTGATGACTTAAAGGAGAGGGATGCATCTGTCCCACTCAAATACTGCCTCGTTAATAGAACAAGCATAAGCGAATCCTCTTTACCATCACCTCATCCTGCCTCATTGACCAGAGGCAGAGGGTAGAGTTCATAACAAATCTCAAGATGGAGAATGACCACACAATACTGGGAATCACAGCCCAGCCAAGTGGGTGCATACTTCGAGGATACAATTTGATCCGTGACAAGCTCCATAGTTAGATTTCTCCCTTGGTATTTTATTGTCCTGGATGCTGCTGTAGATGGAACTGCTTGCCTCTCAAGATGTCTCCTTGCGGGTGTATAGAAGTTCAACCAGTTTTTGTTTCTGGACCTCATACCTGGTAATTTTTGCTAAATTCCTTTATTAGCGCTAGAATTTTTCTTGTAGACTCGTTGGGCTTTTTCTACTGTAGAGTGGTATCATCTACAGAGATAACTTTTTTTTCTAATCTGGATACTTTTTTTCTTGTCATATTGCTCCTAATAAAACATTGACTAGAAGCGGTCCGGCAAGTGCCTTTGTCTCGCTCTGATTTCCCAGGGAACGTTCTCCCTCTTTCTCCGCTAAGTTTAAGGTTGGCAGTTGCCTTTTCATTTTGCATTGTGGTTGTGATTTCCGTTTCCCTCGTAGCTGATGATCCCGAGTATCTTTTCCTGTGCTTATTGGCCATTTGGATGCTAGCTTCGGAGAAAGGTCTCTCCTGATCCTTTGCCCATTTTAGTTGAGTTATTGGTCTTTTTATCCGTGAGTTGTAGGAGTTCTTCTTCATAGATGTTCGATAGCAGCCCCCAATCAGATCTGTGATGTGCAAACCTTTTCCTTCCATTTAGTGGGTTTACCTCTCCTTTCCTTACGAGTTTTGTCTGAAGCAAAAAATGTCTCATTTTCATGATGTCCAATTTAACTCTTTTCCTTTGTTGCTCATGCTTTTGGTGCCGTCTCTAAGAAACCATTGCCCAACCCAAGGTCGTGCAGATTTACCCCTACATTTTCTCCTAAAAATGTCATAGATTTTGCTCTTACGTTCAGGTGTTTGCTCCGTTTTGGGTTCATTTTTCTCCATGCTATAAGGCACGGGGACAATGTCATTCCTCCGTATGTGGATATCCAGGTGTCTTGGATCCACTCGTTGCTTCCCCATTGAGTTGTCTTGACTCCCGGGTTGAAAGTCAATTGGCCATATCTGAGAACGTTATTTCTGAACTCTCAATTCTATCGCAGTGATCTGCAGCTACCTGCCCGTATGCCAGTGCCACACGGTCTTGAAGGTAGCTGAATTTTAGCTGAACCGAATTAACTGGGTTGGGGAATGACTGAGCCCAGAGCTTCCTTACCTTTCCTTACGGCAGTGGTTTTTAACCTGTGGGTCGCGACCCCTTTGGGGGTTGAACGACCCTTTCACGGGGGTTGCCCGGTTCATAACAGTAGTAAAATGACAGCGATGAAGTAGCAATGAAAATGATTTTATGGTTGGGGGGGTCACCACAACACAAGGAACTGTATGAAAAAGCCGAGACATTAGGTAGGTAGAGAACCATTGCCTTGGGGCTTAAAAGTTTTTAAGAGCCTTTCACATGTGTAGCCACACTTAAATCTACTAACCATTCTGAGAGCAAACAGAAGCTGAGTGGTGTCCCCAGACTTACCCAACCAGAAACATGGTGGTCCCAGGACAAATCTGTGGGTCTTTGACCCAGTCAAGGGATCTCATTATTCTGGCTAAATGCCTTCTGATTGTCCAGCAACTTGAGAGAAGTAGGAGGGGAAAATTAAGAGGCGGGGCAGGAAGCGCGCGCGCGCGTGTGTGTGTGTGTGTGTGTGTGTGTGAAGCAGACTAGTGTAAAGCTATAGCTGCTGATCAACTTATAACAAATATCCTCTCCTCTCAGACAGACAAGGAAGGAGGTGCTCTGGATGGTCACGTGCTTTGTTGGCATTGCATTTTCAAAGAATGTGAATGCAAGGAAATGCTCTCCATACCCAAACCACATGGCTGTGGCTTCATCTGTTGTTTCTGTTGTTCTAGAAGATTCTTTAGGGCATTTTAGAGCACCATTTCTTCAAGCATGAGCCAAGGAACACACAGCGTTCAGAGTCATCTGATAGACGCACGTCATGCTTATTTAAAATGCAGTTTCTTAAAGCTCCTCACCCACCCCAGATCTACTGAAAAATTGCTGCGTGATTTTTATGCATACGATGGTTCGGGAATTTTGGAGCAAAGTTACAATTGTGCATATCAATGATCACTGCTCTTAGGAGACGCAGGCATTCTGCGTAAACGGGAGTTCTGGGTAATACGATAGATTAATGTATTTCGTGTCCTTCAAATCTTTGCTAAAACATCATTCTTCTTATGAGAACTCACCTGATTTCAAATGACCTATCACCCTCTCTCACACCTCTCACACTCCCTACTCTTCTTCCTCGTTGACCCACATTGACCAACATCTAACTGGCATCTAACATGAGTATTTTTGTGATTAGGAGCGAGCACTAATGGCATAACGGTTCAGCACTCAGCTAACTAAAAGGTTGGTTATTTGAACCCACCAACACCCTGGCGACCTGCTCCCATACAAATGACAGTTTCAGAATCCTTCGGGCAGGTCCACTTGGCCACATGGGGTCACTGTAAGTTGAAGTCACTCATGAGAAGTGCCCTCCGGAAGGATCTCAAGGCTGTGACTGCTGCAAAGAGGGCTCTGCTTGGGCCCAGACAGCCAACCTTTCAACTCTTCCTCGAACACGCAACCATTTGCACCAGCCAGGGAGATATAGTGTATACACCTCTGCACATGCAAAATATGGTGCTTTGCTTGCACAGTGAGTTTAGCACCAGGCTGCTAACCACAAATCCACTCCTCAGGAGAAAGACGAGGTAGTCTGCTTCAGAAAGAGTCACCGCTTCTGAAGCCCTAAGGAGTCGTTCTACTCTGTCCCACAGGGTCACCATAGTCACAATGGACGGGTTGGATAGATCCATAAATTATTTGACTCTCGCCTCTAGCAAGCAAGCAAGCTTCCCAAATAGGTGTGCCTGTCTATTATTCCTCCACTGAATAGTCTTGGCACCCAAACTTATGGGCAAATCAATTGACCATAAATGTGAGGGTTTCTTTCTAGACTCACGTCTATTTCATTGATCTCTGTGTCTTTCCTTAAGGCAGTAACACACTTGCTTTCTTTTGAAAATAGTATTTGACTGCGTTTTCGGTGGAAGTTCACACACCAAATGAGATTCCCAATGGAGAATTTCTCTACAAGTTGTTCAGTGACATTTGAAACCCTCCCACCGCCCCGCCCCCCCCCACACACAACATGTCAGCATTCATTTTCCTTCATTGACTTCTGATGGTGCCGGTGCCAGGGCTCTAGTGTCTCTGCTTGCCCCTTATCTTCTCAAGGAACCCTGGTGGGGTCGTGGTTACGAGTTGGGCTGCTTACCGCAAGGTTCTCTGTTCGAAACCGCCCCGCACTCCTCAGGAGAAAGATGGGGCTTTCCACTCCTGTTGGAGAGTCCCAGCCAAGGACCTCACAGGGGTGCTTCTGCCCTGTGCGCTAGGGTCCACATGAGTCCACATGGACTTGATGGCACTGAATTCGTGTGATTTATACCTTATCCTCTCATCTTTGCTGTACAGTCCTTGTTGACCTCTCAATGGTACCACACTGTCTGGGAGGTCACGCACGGCTGTATCGTCAGCACACGTCTCTGGCACATTGTGGGTGTCCAATAAATAAGTAACAGTGGCTTGAGTCAACACGCCACACTGCAGCTTAGTGCCCGGGTGTAAGCAACATCATTTGCCTTATGCTTTTTTTTTTTTTTTCCCTCTTACAGGATTTGAAAAAAACAAAACGATAAAGCAAATTATTCTCTGGTGCCTGAGCGATGCTCTGTGTGTAGTGCTAGAGAGAAAGAGCTGAAAACGCATCCTCTAATCCCCTAATTCTGGAGTCTGGGCCACTTGCTCCAAAGCTCATTTTCCCTTAATGCCTTTGAGACCCTCAATTTACTACGAGGATCTTGCACTCCCAGCTGCCCAGTCCTGCGAGGGCTACCCCCACAAGGACCTGTTGCTCCTCCGGTGAACAAAGTGGCCTGAAGCGGCCGGCAGAGCTGAAGGGCAGGAGGAAGGGATTTTACTAAGTCCACCCTACACCTGGCTACTGTGCTCCAAACCAGGTATTGACAATAAATAGATACATTTGCCCTCTGAGATGCTGACTGTGGACACTCAGAGAAAGATCCTGTCTTAGACGGCTCACAGGCTTGCCTGGCTCTGGACAAATGACCCCGTACCCATTTCCTGCCCTCCAAGCCTTCTGCCCAAGAGCAACACCACACAAGCCCATCCATCCTCCTGCACACCCAGGGCTCCTCCCCTTGGCCCCATTTTACACGCCAGGAACCGGAAGCTGAAACCCAGGAATCCTCAGATCTCTAACACTGGAGGTGCTGCCTGCTGGCTGATCCACACCCTGTCTCTAGCAAGGCACACCCCACGTTAGCATTTGTGTACAGACAGTGGGACGTGCCCTGCCGGGGAGGGGGGGGCTGCCCTCCACCCCCGCTTCCAAGGGATGCTGGGAAACTAGGGAGCCGAGTAGGAGGATGAAAGGACAGGAAAAAGCAAGTTTGTTGCTAGTGTTATTCGCACAGGGTGGCAGGATCTACCTGCTGAGTGTTCCCAGAAGGTCCCCAAGGAAACCATTAACGTGTGTCTCTCAGGTTCTTAGAGGCTCCGTAGTGGGGGGGTGTTTGTTCTAAGAGGCAGGGGGATGGGTACCGTTCTAGGGGTCCGGGTTATACGTTCCTGCTCTCATGAATGAATAAATGGTAGTGAATAGAGGACACTTGTCAAGGTGAGCAGCCAGGCGCTTGTCATCCCGGGCTGTCGTTGGGTTACTCCAGGTGCATTTAAGGAGGGAGGTGGGGAAAGATGTGGGTCAGGAGGGAGGGGCTAGCGGCGCTGAGACCGCTAGGCGAGATAAAGATCGGGATGGGGATGGGAAGGGGGTGGGGGAGGGGGGCATTGGCTACCATAGCCTCCAGGCTGGCTGACTTTGACTCTTTCTGGCTGGCGTCAGCCAAGGCTGTAAGGGGGCTTAGGGCTTGGAGACAGCGAGGAGAGTGGCCCCTGGCTCCGGAGGTCACCCAGTGAACTTTCCCCGGGCTCCCAGGCTAGAGAGAAGGCGTTTTCTGGGTGGGGAAGATGGCACCCAGAGGCCTTGAGTGAAAGTGCCGGGGGGAATCTCAGACCCAGAGGATGGGGGTTCGGGGTGCGGGGGAAGGAAGAGAAGGCGTGTGTCTCTGCGCGGGGTAGTCAAACTGAGACCGGGAGCCAGAGAGGGAACTCCGGGTGCAGTGGAGAGGCGATGTAGGGTCTTCCAGCAGATGGGGTGAGGCTTGGCAAACGGGGGTCGTCTTTCGAGGGGATGGTCCTCCGTGGAAACACCGGACTCCTGAACTGGAAACTCGAGACTCCGAAGACGCGTGGGGAGGGGGCGGTGAGCATCTGGAACCGGACTTCCTGAATTCAGTCTAGACTCTTGAGTGGGCCTGTCAAGACCCCTCAACCTAGTCAAGGTGCGAGAAAAGAGGAGGGAGACAGGGTGGCGATAAAGTGGGCCCCGAGGATCGGGCTCAACAGACCACTTGGTGAGGGCAGATGGCCACCACTGTGGGCCAAAGGGATTTGGGGAGATCGCTGAGAGGGGGTTCTCGCTCTGGTAGGCGATGGGGACACAGAGCTGGTGTCTACCAGGGTGCTGATAGAGACCCCCTACTCAAGACGCAAGCGCCGAGAGAGGGTCCCACGTGGGCACGGGACCTTGGGAATGGATTGAGGGCGGCTGAGGAGGAACCCTAAAAAAAGGTTGGGGTCATTTGGGACTCCGGGGGGGACTGGGTCAGCTTCTCACTCAGGATTGGGGGAGTGGAGGGATTCTCACTAGTTGGGAACGTGAGGGAGGGGATTTGGGGTACTGGGACTATCCCCCCAACCCCGGGAGTTTTTCGGGGGGAGATCTCTTAAATATTCTGGACAGTGGGACTACGAGGGAGCATGGGAGGAGGGGGGTCCCCGATCCGGAACCCAGCTACCTTGAAGGCACCGGGAAGCGCTTCGTTCCGGGAGGGCGTTCCCGCAGCCCGGGCCCCCAGCGCTGGGATTGGGGGTGCGGCCGTGCCCCGGCC